GGAAACAAACCTGTCCCACAGCTGCAAGATTTCAGGTGGAGCAGGAGCCCTGCAGCTAGTTTGCGATATGCCCTTCGATGAAACATGCAACATGTTTTGAAGGAACAAAGGACTAATTAAGTAACAAACATCAGACTGTTGATTTAATATCAGTAAGTAACAGACAAGCAGGAGTGAAAAAGGTTATAAATAAATCCCCTGAGGCAGGAGATAGGATTTATCTATTAAGAATTACTAACCAGCATGCCAACACATAGCATGTGCCAAATGCTAATTGCTGCAACTGATTAAAGGGCAACCCAGTTTATCAGCTGATTGTCAGTACCAGGTAGAAAACAAGCTCTTGAAAATTACAAGCCTTTTTTTTTTTTATTTTTTTTTTTTTTATTTGTAGGAGAGATTTCCAGTATGAACTCCTGATTTTTAATTGTTAGATAAGTAAGAGAGTAAAAGAAAGAGTAGGAGAAGAAAAGAGTGTTGAAGCAGAGTCCTGAAGTCTTTTCCCAATTACCCTGAGTCTGAAAGCTCCAGGTAGTTCAGCTTAATACAGTACAACTTAACACTAGTCCAAAATAAAAGGAAAAGGAAGTACAGGACTGTTTTTGGACAGAAGCTTTCCTATAGCATGACCTTCTAACATATGCAAAGTCTACTTGGAGCATAAAAGCAAATACATCCTAATAATTTTCAGCCATATCACAGCATTGTCAATGGTCAGTTCACTGCAAGTAAAATACTGTTGCTTTTGTTAAACCCTCATTCCTGAAATCGTGTACTACCTTACAATGCCAAAGTGTGCTTTGATGTACAGCTCCAATACCTATAGAGGAAGGAACTCTGGTGATACAGACCTTCTTAATGTGTAAAACAAAACCAGATTTACATTTTTAAGAATTAAAAGATGCATCTCCTTTAGCCACATGGTTGTATCAAGTGTTACCGCTTGAGGTTACTGCAGTTGCCAATGTCTAACAACTTAGCTCACCTTCTCTGAATACGCTTAGAGAAGACAGTTGACCTGCTCTGCTTTCCTGGGACCTTTTCAGCGCCTCAACAAATATGGGAGCAGCTTATTATCAGACAGAAAGTTATACAGATACCACAGGTGACTGACTTATCATTGCAGGTTTTTAAAACATCAGACACAGAGTAAGAATGGAACATTGAATAATCTTTTGTGCCATTCATAAACCTGTAAGAATTCTGAAAGACACATGTTGAGGTGTTCCTCTGTGCAAAACACTGCAACTACTGTGCACAAAAAATACCTGTCACATGGCAGGAAGAGACAGCAGTTTCAGTAGGTCAGATGAGCACCTGATTTATTTATCAGCTTAAGGCCCTACAATGTAACACATTGTTTTTTCTAAACATATTGTTTAATGTGATTATATAATATATAGGGTCAAAGGCTGACTCGGCCTCAACCTGTCTGGAGCTATGTAACAAATGAAAAAGAAAATGCAATGCTCTATGCGTAAATCCGGATACAAACGCTGCTCATGTATAGCCTAAAACCAATTTTTAGTTCTCTAAGTTACCCTTCATTACAGAGCTATTCGCCATATTTTGACAGCTAATCTAATTACTTTATAAATGTCAGTGTTGATTTTAGGAAAAGCCTGGAAACACTGGTGGAAAATAGAAGCTTTGAACATAGCAGAAGCAATATGTAATTGGTTTTTAGATATAAAACGCATCTCTACTAAGATTTTGTGAAATCCTGAGTAGTTATATTGCTGCTGGCACAAAGAAATCAAAAAGTTCCAGGGAAAGGTAAGAGATAGTAATGATCTTTTCAATATTAATGCCGAATAGCATATAATGAAAACACCATGTAGATCCCCTATTTATACTAAGCAACACTCATAGCTGTTAATGGACCAATGAAGTGAAGAAGAGAGTAAGCTGTAGGACAGACTATAGTCAGAGCTAGAATCAACCCAAGTAGCAAATTCGACTACTGAAAAGAGAGGAGACTTTTCTTGAACTGCTGAACATATAGAATGATTATCCAAAAGATAAACAACCTGTGTTATGCTTAGATACAGTTTCATTTATTATTTATTATCTCGTTCAAATGAAACCTCAAAATCAGAGAAAACCCTAGTTTCCAATCTTTTCCCATCCTCTATGAAACATGAGATAATCTGTGCAGAAGTCCTTCAAAGACCACTACAAAAATCAAATCACATCATCAAGAAAAGCCCATTCCCTGTTTATCATTTTGCTCTGTGCTTCCATTGCAGAAAATAAACAAGGTAAAACAGTCTCAATGGTGTGTAAATGTTCAAGGCAAAAAAAAAGTATATATTGTCCAGTTTTCACTGTATTTTTAAACTGATATCTGCTAAAAGACTATGTTATTCCTATGTACTCATTGATTAAATTTCAGGTTATTTGCTTTCATTAGAAGTTTATCTCCCAAGCTTGTACTTTGCTATATTTAAAAACATGGCCAAAACAATGCACATTTAGCCACTGAATGTTCTACAACACATATTGAAATTGTTCCCAGTTTTACTGCTTTTGAATAGCAACTACTTTTGAAGCAAAAAAGAAAGTATTGACTTTTAGGAAGTGTAGTATTTGGCAGCTAGTCACAGCCAACAAGAATGCTGTACATATGCACGTTGATATTGCAGCTCAGAAATAAATGCACATTGCTTTTGTTTAGGTATCTAAGTATCTGACTTCAGAAGCTTGAAAATAATGTAAATTGCCTTTAGTACACAAAGTTTCTTTCATTCATAAGACTATAAACTTTCAAAAAATTGAAAAAGCAAGAATGCAACATACCAATAACAGAATTCTCTAGAATCATAGTTTTTTAGTAAAAGATAATAGTTTAAAGTAAAATTACTAGCAAACCAAGTCGGGTAGAAAACCAGTCAGTTTAGATCAGGTTCAAAATGGGGTGTCTTTTGACACACAGATTTTGTACTGCAATGGATGATGATAATAAAATTATATTAACTGCATGAGATAAGTATGTTCTGGCAGTATTTTTGCTGTATAGGACACAGAAATAGAATTCAAATGCAGTTATGCTGAAATTAGAACTTTCAGTTATAGCTGACATTACCCACTGGATATCTTAGGCATAATGGAAACAGTTGTTCATGTACACCATTCTCCCCTTAAATAGAGGTATTTGACAAATTCTGTGACAAAAACTATCCTTTCTTTCTGTCTATAAGATTTTAGGAAGTAAAGTTCTACAAATGCTAGGAATAAAAGCTCTTAGCCATGCAGGGAAGCGTTTGAGGGTACAGGTGAATGAAAAATTGGACATGAGCTGGCAGTGTGCATTTGCAGCCCAGAAAGACCATCATAACCTACATCAAAAGGAGCCTGGCCAGCAGGTCAAAGGGAGTGACTCTTTTCTATTCTGATCTCATGAGATCATCACCTTGAGTGTTGCATCCAGATCTGGGGACCTGTTAGCGCAGGTCCAGAGGAGGGCCACAAAAATGGTCAGAGGGCTGAATCACCTCTCCTATGTAGAGAGGCTGAGACGTGGGAGAAGACTACAGGAGACCTTATTGCAGCTCTTCAATATATAAAAGGTGCTCACAAGAAAGAGGGAGAAAGATCTTTTACCAGGGCCTGTACCACAACAATAGTTTAAACTCAAACAGGGTTTAGATTTATACTGGATATAAGGAAAAAGTTCTTTGCAATAAGTGTGGTGAGACACTGGAAGTTGTGGATACCCCATCATGAGACGTACTCAAGTTCAGGCTGGACAAGGTTTTGAAAAATCTAATCTAATGAAAGATGTCCCCACCTGTGGCAGAGGGATTGAGCCAGTTGTTCTTCGAAGGTCACTTCCATGCAAAATTACTCTGTAGTTTTATTCAAAAATTCTGACAGCAGAATCTTTGTTTTGCTAATTCCATTTACACCGCTGTTTTTTCTTAAAAGTTACAGCTCCCATAATGGACATCAAAATTCTATAAACACTGCAGCTGTGATTTTCGTTTCTGATTTTCAGGTATACTAGACTACAATAGAACTCTAGAAGCAGAATTTCAAGCAATGCCAAATCAGATGTCTTAAGGAAGTTTATTACATCAATATTAATACCTAATCAACAAATTTTATAATTTCACTGAAAAAAAGTTTTGTAGGGTAGTTTCAGAAAGACTGATTTCTATAAGCCCACTTGGAGTTTTTTGAAACTTTCTCTTTGCTTCAGCTCTTGCTTAAAAGCAGCATTAACACCTAAAGAAAAACCAACTTGAAAGAGTTTAATTTTGGTTAGTAATCTAACAACAGAAGTTTGTGATGGGAATAAATAACACACTTAGTATTTAAAAATTCTTTTCTTTCAAAAGAATTAATGCTAAAAAGTTAAAGAAGAAGGAAAACAGCAAAAGTAGTATTTTTTTTTTGTATATATAGAAGTCTTAAGAAGCACATCTTTTGCTTTTTAAATATGACTGATTTAAATGACACTACTGCACAAAACTGGACATAGCTTTCTATAAGAAAAAAAGCAAGATGTAAACATAATTTCCCCTAACTACACTCATAAGTTTAGGACTATTTACATTTTCAAATTTGAGTTTAATTTGAGTCTTAATACTCAAAGTTCCAAGTCTTTTTAGATCAAAAAGTTTTAATTTATTAAACAAACAAAAAAAATGCAAAATTAGATTCCTGAGACTCTATGTACCTATACATGCATAGTTATATATAAACAGGTTAGTAAATAGAAAGCAACAAAACTTCTTATCCAGCAAACTCATTCTTATACAACTTGGAAAATGTCAATAATGTCCACGAAATCCTGTAACCCGAAACCATTAGCAGGAGAACTTTAGCAACATTTTGCTGATAGTATTTGTTTACACTGCTTACTCCTTAAAATCTTATTTTATACACTGCTATATTATAAGACTGCTTTGCACAGTTTCAGTCATGTTGGTACTTGAATTTGAAAACAGATTAAAAGCTTATAATATGCTTGGAAAAAAGCATCTGAATTGCTGCAGTTTCTATTTATAAAGTTGTTGAATTTTATCTAAACTGAAAATCCCAGGAAGGACAATTTCCTTGAAGAACAGAAAGTAAATGCAAACAACTATATATGCGTTTGCACTTTAAATATTGTAAAGCACTAAGTGAGTTATTTGGACTTAAGAAAAAAACAGCTCACATTCATTTTCTAAATTAATCCTTCACCTCTTATAAAAGAAAATCTCTTTTTAAGATGGTGATTCATGTTCCACTGCTTTAACTACAGCATATAGTGTATTCAACCTGAGGGTATCGATGCCTGTGTATATTTTATTACAGTGAATATTTACTTTCATCAGGTCTATATGTAAATTAGTGGCTGCTGCTGTGGACTAGAAAATAAATTTGTTGATTTAAAAGGTGAAACAGCATCTTATGAAGGCTCTACTGCTCTTTGTTTTATCCGCAGTTACTGGGAGCAACTATAGTAAGAAATAAAAAAAAATCATGGTGATTTTGAAGTGCTTCTGGCCATCTGTGATTTCCAGTGTTTTCTATTACGATGGATAGTAATATTCTGATGTTCACTTGTGATTTAGAGATTTCTGTTCTTCAGAGCTGAAGACTGAATAATACTTTTGTAGTGTAGGAAGGAGCAGAATCTGTGAAAAGAGAAAAAAGAAATACAGCTCAGACTTTAGCTATGTAATCCAGCACAAATAAATGGAGCCCTTAGCTAGAAACAGCTAGGTTTGGTTTTATTTCAAAAGTTCTCTACAAGTGATCTCTCTGCTATCTTTCAGAAATTCTGCTAGCTCACATTATGCAGAAACTATTCCTTCTCCAGTCTGCTTTTTAAAGGCAGGTATTGGCATAATCTGTAGCACAAGAGGTCAGAAGCAGGAAATACAAGAGTGATTTGTGATCCAACCTTAAAGCTTGGAGATAAGTTTTGTCTAGGAAGGCAGAAACATCTATTATCCCTGAGCTGCTTTACCCCAAATGAGTATAAAGCTGGCCTATCCCTGGCAGGATCAAATGAAGGTTTCAGGAAGCTTGGCTGTCATTTTAGAAGTAGGCAGCTTGCATACTCCAGTGTGCAGTTTATGAACATTAAAGAATGGAAGTCCAGTATCAGAATGTGAAAAATATTCTGCAGCCACATTCCTTTACATTTCTTTTTTGCTAGGTCTTGTAGGACTGCTCTATAGACCACCTACATGCCAATTCATGAAATGCAAATAATGAAAAGATACAATAGGATTCATTCCACAAAAATCCATTTCCACACACAAACTCTCAAAGGGATTTAAACTCTATATGGTATTTTGGCTCACGGAAATTTTCCCTTTGTTTCCTAACATGTTTTACTAAATGAAAAAAAAAAGATATTTCCAGTTACTTAATTACAGTAAGTCTAAAACAGAACAGCAAACTAAAGTAACACAGATTTTTTAGGTGACGTGCAATAAAAACAATGTGGTCAAACAATAAGTACATTCTATACATCTCATTATTAAAATATGTTCTATAAATGCAAAGAGTATTTTATGTATACACTGTGTTTCTTTTTGAGGAGAAGAAGCACTTTTTGCTGGAATTCAGTTCCTAATGCTAATCCCCAGTAAGGTGAGCAAATCTGGAGAATAAGGATAATCGTTGCATACATAGTCATTGAATTAATGCGTGTGCAAACACACCATTAATTTTGTATGCATTTGTTCAATATCAGGTGTCTTAGTCAGGGCCCAAAATTTAAAGAAAACACATTAGACATTTTCACTTTTAGTCTTATTTACCATAACAGACAATTACAGTTTAAGGATATATTGCTTGTCCTCTTAAAAGTTAATGTTTCGGTTGTATTTCTGCATTTATATCCAAGCTGGTAGGAAGTTTACTGCAAGTTAACACATACCCCTTTCTTTTAGGTCTTCAATGTATGCTTTCATAAACTCTTTCTCGAATTGCTCCCGTTCACGTTCACTTTCTACAATTTCTTCAGTGTCTTCACATACAATAGTTTCAACTGGGCTGTCCTTGAGACTTACAAATCTAGAGAGAGATTAACGAAAGAATGTATGCATCAGGCTTCTGAACTTCACTGGCCTGCATGAATGACATTTTAGAAGTTGCTTCTACAGCCAGAAAGAGAAACGTAAGGAACATTTGCTCAGTTTTTGCATTGTGGAATCATTAGGATCCACTTATTTGCAGAAGTAAAAATTTCAAATAACACATTCTCTATACTCCACTTTCCATATAAAATTTATGAGATTTAGCTCTCTTTTTTTTTTCTTATCTACATAAATCATTCTTTGCCTTAAGAAATATATTTCTTTATTATTAAACGTATGACAGACTACAGGATAATTTCACAACTGTTACCAAGCACTGCAAAATCCTTAATAACTGCCTGTAGTCTGGAATTTTGCCAGTATTACTTCACTGACAATATGTATCTCTATTTTTTGGTAGTTGTTATGTTCATTCTGTTTTACAACGCATGACTGGATATGCATTTTGTCATATTTGCAAATTTCCTAAAGTTACACATTGCAGATGAGAAACTAGATGGTTACATTCACATCTAAAATAACATGCAAATTAAGTCTATAACATTCTGAAAATCTCTGATGTTTTTCCCACTCAAGAAGTAACACATAATCCAAGAAATGTTACTTTCTAAAGAACAAATGGTCCAACAAATCATCCAGCTTTTCAAAATCTCATGAATTGTTGTGAGTCTGTGGTCTGTTGGTCTTGGCTGCCAGGTTCCCACCAAGCAGCCCTCTCACTCCCTCTCCACAGCAGGATACGGGAGAATATAAGATGAAAAAGTCATAGGTTGAGATAAAGACAGCTTAATGTAGAAAAACAAAAGCCACACACAGAAGAAAAACAAAGCAAAATAAATATTAAATATTAAAAAAAAAAAAAGAAATCATTCTCTGCATTCTCTACTTATCAACAGGCAACGTCCAGCCCTTTCCTGGGAACCAGGCATTCAGTATGGGTAGCACTATATAATAACCTTGTTTTATATATATAACCTTTGTTCCTGGAGTTTTCTCCATATCAATTGTTTGCCCTTCCAAAGCTTTCTCTTGATTTTATTGCTGAGCATGACACCATACAGTATGGAATATCCGTTTGGCCAGTTTGAGTCAGCTGTCCCAGCTGTGTCCCCTCACAACCTCTTGCTCATCCTCAGCCCTCTGGCCTTTGTGAGGGGGGTTTGAAGAGGCAGCCTTGATGTGGGAGCCCTGGTCAACAGTAGCAAAAAACCTCGGTGTCTCACCACCATTCTAGCTACAAATATAAATACAGCACTATGAGGACTACTATGGCAAAAGTTAACTCCATCCCAGTCAGACCCAATATGGAGTCTCAAACGGTATCATAATCAAAGGCCTGAGCATCGGCTGTAGAAATGCAAGATCATTGTAACTGCAGACTAAAAGGCCTTTTAGACTTAATCTGCATGCAGCAACAAGGTGCTGCTTCGCAACAGAGTATATGACCTACTAAACTCACATGACACTATTTAGACTTTTAACTCCCAGAAGCATACTGTTGACAGGACTAAGCTTATCAACAGCAAACTGCCAGTTTCCTGGTCCTGCTCTGGCACATGATTATGAGACTCCAGAGTTAGCGCTACTACAACCATGTCTACACAGGAATAGCAGTGTGGGGAAGTGGCAAATGAAAATCAGAAAACTGCTGTTCCTCTGCATTTTCCAAGCTTTCTAGTGCCTCTTTAATGGCTCTGATATAAATTGAGTCCTAATTTGACCACCAGGTGTGGTAGAAACTGATGCCTGTGAAAATATTTCTGCTGAGTGCACCTACTTTATGTTATAAAGAACATACTTTCTCTCTTTTACTTACTTTAAACCTGTGGTTGACTCACAGACAGCGGTGGGTATCTCAACCAGGTCATCACCACTGACAACTAGCAAACTGAGCTTTGGCATATTGACAAGAGCTCGTGGAAGATAAGTCAACTTGTTCTTCTGCAGGAGAAGTGTCTGAAGTTGATCTAACCTGTAAAAATGTGAAAGATGAAGATAATAAAATATTTATTTCAGACAGGAATATTTATCCAAGATAGCAACACAGAATTAATCATGTACAAAAGAAGAACATGCACCATCTTTTGCTTCTCAAAAATTATTTATACCACACTTCCACAAACTGTCACCAACTAACTTTAGTGGAAATTTCCAGTCATGGTTCAATATCATAGATATTAATAGCATACCTCTGAAAAGTACTCAGAAGCATTCCCCAGATAAAAGATTACAAAAATTATTGTGCTTTCATACACATGTTGACAGAATATGATATAAAGGCTCACTATGTGTATCCTGGAAGTGATGAAAAATATGGGTCAGCAGCTCACACCTTTGCCCGTATGCTGGATTCTATGAACTAGATACGTTCGTGCTAGGCAGTATATTCCCATCAATTGTTTTTCACTAGTAATTAATACTGAAGGGAGCAAGAGAAAGACCAGCTCCTGGTCATATGGCTCTTGCAAGTTTTCCCATTGAAATCAATTTAATGACAGCGTTTTGTAAAGGAACATGTTTAGCTTGGTTTTCTTTACTTACCCTAGCTCTTTTCCTAATGCAGTAGTAATTTGTGACTGAGCATTTATTCCTTGGAGTAGATAGAAGATAGCAAACTGATGAAACAAGTTTGTCTGATTGACAGGAAAAGCCCATTCCTTAAACACCATTGTAGAAAAACAGAGAAGATGAAATGTAGAAAAGGAGCATTTTGGAGACAGAGGAATATAGATGGATTACAGGAGGGAAATGTCCCTTAAATTTAGTGAGTATCCTTCCATAAAATAAAAATCTTATTAGAAGCGCTTTCAAATTAATCAAATCTCAGTTCAGATCTGGAAAAAAAATGGCAGTTGTATACTGTTGTTGCTAGAGCATCTGAATTACTAATACAAAAGTTTTCAGCCCCTGCTGTCAGAGAAATCTGTGATTACACAATGCCCCAGAAAAGTCTTTTTGACCAGCAACAAGGGGTTTGAAAAAGTTAAGGTTGAATAAATTTTGTGTGAAGTTTCTTCTGTCTCAAGGATCTCTATTCCCAACTCAACAAATAATGCAATTTTTTTTAATATAAACTCTTGTTAATTGGTAGTTTCTTTACGTATGGTTATGTAACGTTCTGTAAACCAGATTACAGCAGGACTCCAGAGTGAATAAATAGGCCCAGGAATAAGTGCTTTCTCAGACTAGTAAATCCCATTAAGGGGATTAGCATGATTTTTTAAAAAATATCTCCAGTAGATCTCTAATTTGAGAATACAAGTATATGTGTACACATGAATATATACTCCAGAGTAGGAGGGGAAAATTGTCAGTGGGTTTTTCAAGCTTACTAATATTTTCCTGCTTTACTGACAAATTTTACCAGGTTCTTTAAATATGCTTTAGTTCATCTTTCCCTCCACCCTATTTCCCCTCCAGAGTGATACTGCTGCCAACTCCATATGGTGAGTCCCCTTTGCTGGAACTGAGACAGTATGCCCCATGAACTTCCTAAAGAACAATGCTGTCATGAATGCAGCAGAAAATCTAACTAGTTAACTGAAAAGCAAAGGCACTGACTGTGCAATCTGCCATTAATGAGCTAGAAAATGTAGTTTCTGTTATCTGACCTATTCCATCAATAATAATGGTAAAGCTTACATGCAAAACTGTATGATGCATTTCCAAGTGAGATTTTCTCATGTAATTTTTCATTAATGCTGTCCCTTAGAAGCTTGTTACTTTCTAGATTTGCTTTAGAGTTCACAAGCCTGCCAATAAATTAAAAACATAAACTACCTGTCTATGTCTTCTGGGAGGTCTTTCAGGTTGTTGCTGCTAATATCCAACCACTGCAAATTAGACATACGAAGTACACAAATTGGAATAGAATGGAACTTGTTTGCTGACACGTCCACAACTGTGACTTGTTTCAGGTTACTTAGCTAGAAAGAAGTGGAACTTTATTTTAGTTATATTTTCCAAAGTACAGAAAACATTTTATTTATCAAAAGTTCCTGTTTTTCTCAAAGCACTTTGAAAAATAAGAATTGCATGATTATTTTTATTCAACTTTTTGCCAGTCTTATCTCTTAATCATCATTTTATACCAAAAAAAAAAAAAAACATTTCAGAAATAACTATCATCTCCTGAAATGTTCATCACCTTTCTAACACCGTCATGGTATCAAATGAAGTTTCAGATGACACTAAGGCTGGATCTAAATAATGACTGGGTTCTTTCCTAGCTTGCATATGAAGTAAGCTCTGAAGTGACAGAATACAGTTTTGATTATTGTTAGAGGAAAAGTTTCCATTCACAAAATCAGAGACTTTATAACTCTCACAAAACCCACATAATTTCCTTTGTTATAACTCTGTTATGCACTGAGAGTGTATTGCTAGGAGACCCTTAGGAAATTAAACTGTCAATTTAAGCAAACAGAAAATTTAGTCAAATATTTTTCAAAGATCTTTAAAAATACATCATCCATACTGCAAACTAAATAAGGTGCACTAGAGCTTTTTATTTTATGCTTTTCAAACTAATTACCTTTTTAAATAATAAACCTTTACCACAATGAAGGTTAAGTACAAATGTAAAATATACCTGTTAAAGAAATAAATGTGTTAAATAAACCTCTCTGTGTAGTGAATCTATTATTCAAATTATCAGTGTTCATAAAACCATGCATCTAGATAAAGTGAAAGTCAAAGGAGTATAAATGTTAATGAAAAAAAAGTACTTTAGAATGGAAATTATGTTGCTGAGCCCCTAATCATATGTCACCATCCCAATCTAGCCCTATAGATCCTGCTACAAAAGAGAAAGTATCAAAAGAATTTCATTGGTCTTTGCCTGAAGGTTTCTTAGAGTGTAGAAAATTTTTAGCAGCCAAAAACCCCAAACCAAATATATCTTCTACTTCCAAAGCGAGCAAAATTCAAACAACAGCATAAGAATTAAAGAAGTAGAAAGCAATAAAATACATTCTGAATCCTTGAGAGGGATTTATTATTATTATTATTATTATTATTATTATTATTATTATTATTATTATTTAATAAGAATCTACTTATGTTTTGTTCTATTTTATGGATAAAATTCTTACTGCAGTATTGACAGACTTTTATCTTAATTTGACCTCTGCCATTTAAGATGCTCATATTCACAGCTTGGTGCTATGTCAGAGCCAGTTTGGTTTGGGATTTTTTGGCAGTGGTTTTTCTTTTTGTTGTTTGTTTGTTTGCTTGTGGAGTGTGAGGTTTTCTGTTTGGTTGAGCTTTTTGTTTTGTTTTCTGTTTTGTTTTTTCTAGATACAACCTCATATTGCTGTGTAACCTTAAAATTTGGGGAAATCTTTCCAAGGACATGTACTGAAGTTATCATATCACAATTGACTAGACAATTAAATTTACCTTTCAAAAACAGGGTAGATGTTCAGAGTTTCTCAAGTCAAAGATATAATTTCAAAATCTGCCCACCACTGTATTAGAACAGTCTTGGTGAGGCATTACCATGGAAATGCTTCCCTCCTGATTCAGAGCAGGCAAGCACACATCTTTTCCTGACACATCTCACTTCAAAATTATTCTGTTGTTTTGAGGACTGACTACCAGCAATGACTACCCACTCACACTGTAAATTTTGCAGAAACTCAATCTTTTTTCCAACAAAACAGAACCTCAATTTAAACAAGAGTGACACTTCTCGATTGTAGCAATGAGAGAATGGAGAATATAATTAGCACTACCTTTACACTGCATTCACTTTGTGTTTTCAGATTTTGTCACAATTCCAAATCCCAAGCAGATATTTCAGGCTTCTCTGCACTTAGAACAATTTGCTCTCCCCAGAAGGAATTTAGCAGGCACAGATATAAAACAATGTCCCACAGATTTAAATTCCACCCAAAGTGTTCTGAAACCATTCCCAGAGAAGGAAAGCCACAGTTCCTAAACACAAAGTGGCAAATTACTTTAAAATCAACTCACATCACTCTTCACACAGATTCCTAAACACATTGCTTTCACATGCCGTCCCTGTCATGCTCAATGTAGTAACATTAGGTGGTAAAATGATATTTCTTCAACGGCAGAAGATAGTTTTATATGTTTTCCTGAAAGTGCTTTATTGCATTAAAAATTAAAAGTAACATTAATATAGCAATAGTATTTTTATGAACAGATATTTTTCTGATATTTTTCATCTAGTATTGATGGCAGATTGGTTTAACGCTCGACTAGATGGAAACCTTATTTTTTCATGAGTTTGTACTCCTGTAAAATGTAACAAAATATAAGGCCATGGACTCCTTTGTTAGAAAGTTTGGTTCAACATGCAGCAGAATATATGAAGCCATGATTATACTGTATAAGCTGCAAGCCCTTAGTATTTTTAATTTTAGGGTAATATTTAACAAAACCTGTCCATAGTATGTCGAAACATAATGGAGTTTTTATTTAATCTGTCTCTGATAAGCCAACAACAAACACCTATGATATAAAATGATTGGAAAATATGGCAGCTATGTGTTATATTTTCTAAAGAAAACCCTTTGTATTTTATATCTTCTTGAAGGACTGCTGCATTTTTGCACCTTTTATAATGTTTAGTTTTCAAACAAACATGGCTCCCTTATCATTTTTACATTACAATTTTTTTTATGTTGATTTTTGCTATTTCGTTCTATTATGTGACTTTGAATCAATCAGTATATAGCTTTTATGGAAGCGCCATTTTAAAAAATAGCTATATTTAATACTGCAGCTACCTGGACTTGTCATTCTTATGTTTAATCACTCTTGCCATTTGTATTTGACAAATATCCCCATTTTGCTTATCTTAATAATTTTGTTCACAGAAATAATCCAGATAACCTTGTGGAACTCCACTGCTTCCCTTTCCATCTAACAGCTAAGCCTTCAGTTGAAAGAAAAGGAGACCATGTCCTGGGCTGAACAAGTTATGTCATTTATGGGTGTGTTTTTATTTTTGTTCTGCTTTTTGACATGAAAGGGTTTTACTGATAAAGTTGCATGCAAGTTTATCATGTGTTACCTACTACTTAACACCGACAAATGAAAAGGTGTAAAGTCACATCAAGATTTACAACAAAAATACTGTATTTTTTTGTTACATTCTGTGACAGAAACAGCATCCCATCAAAGTTAATGTACGACAAGTCATACAAAGGCTTAACCAGGAAATGTCTATCAATACATTACAAATGTGCTTGTGCCCACAAATTCCAGACTCAATGAATTCAAATAAAATTTATATCACAGTAAGATCACATTTCCGAATATGTTGTCTCCCAAATCAAATAGAGTGGTACTCAGCATGTCATTAGCTTGCTGAAAGCATTACAGTATATATAGCAAAGGAGCACACTAAATGTTAACTGCTCACTTGCCCACATATATCTCATGCATTCAAACCAAATCCCTAGCTTTTCTTTCACGAAGCTGTAAGTATAACCTATTCTATAATCTCATTGACACTCCTGGAGTAAAGTCACAATTAAAGAAATAGTATAAGAGCATCTTTAGAGGCAGAAGATATGTTTTGTGAAGACCTACATGTATACTTGCATTCTAGTCCTCTATGAGACTTCCAGACTGGGCTCTTAAACTTGAGGAGGCCAAGGTACTTAACAGTCAACTCCAACCCTTAGTAACAGTGCACTTATTCACAAAACCCTCTGAAGCGTAAAAAAGCATAACTTCAAATAACACTTCTTTTGGTACTAAATAAGCTAAATACAAGAAACATATGTAAAAGCCAGTGTTCACCCAAACAGAATTATTCTGATTTTGTAATGCTAAAATCCTAAATCTTTTGCAGAGTTAATCTACAAATACACACTGTTTTTCTGATGCTGAAGTTTAACATTATCCCCTTCATCACTGGAGCATTATCATCATTTAAACACCTACTGTTTAAAGTCTAATAAGGTAATTATAGCTATGGTGATGTAAGAATAAAAAGTCAGCAGAGACTTTGCTTTTTATTTAAGCAGGTTTTTTGATACACAAACCTTTCATCATGTCTGCTAAGAATGAGAACACTGGCTGCATATGCAGTACTCACAAAAATATCAAGTATTCATTATTCATAGGTCATTGAAGAACCAGATAGCAGTAAGAGCAGGACTATTTTCATACAGTTAAAATCCCAAAGAATGTGGATCATGTGTTTAAGAGTTGTTCCAAGCCACTAGATGAGTCATATGCATGAAATTAAGTACCAAATTACTGATTTTCTGGACTGAGGCCAAAACAAGCCTGCTGCCTCAAAAAAAAAAAAAAAGAATTTGTGATGATTAGTAACATTAAATTTTCATAGTATTGCTGCTGGAGCTACACACAGTCTGCATATATTACTGCATTTTGCTATCATAAAGTCATATCTTCTTCAAGTTTACAAAACTTCTAAATTAAGGACACACCTTAGAAAGGAAAAACTGGTCCCTACCAGAAGTCAATTAAAGGTTTCTCATCAACTCAAATGGATTCAGTAGTTCACTTGGCATGCATACTCTCCATATGTTTTAATTGAAGCCATTAGAAAAGAAACAGCAGCAATGTCAGTAGCATAAAGGCATTAACTGACCTCTACAGAATATTTGGATAGGAAGTATCCTTTAAATATGTCAAAAAACCCTTTTAACATATATTTTGTTCCTTCAGAACAAGATGACCAAAACTACTCACTTTCACAACAGAACAGAGACAAAGCCAAAATCTTTTTTTCTTTCATTTCTGCTTTGAGATGCAACAGCAATTGAAGCAGTCCTATTCAAATGATGCCATCTTTATTATGATTTAAACATACGTAATGAAGCTGGGCTTTCAGGACAAGAAGAATTTCCTTCATACAGATCTGACACAGGCACTGGACATTTGGCAGCCTTCCAGTAATACCACCTAACCACATGATGTT